ACACTTTCGGTAGCGACATTTGTCGCTGCTGAAAAACCTTTTAGCTGCGATAAGAATGTTGCCGCTGAAAGACACTTTTAGCGGCAACATTAAAAGACTTTTCAGTGGCGACAATTGTCGCTGTCGAAAGGTATGTTTAGTAACGACTTTTTTGTTGCCGCTGAAAGTAATGCCTAAGAACAGTTGGCTTTACCAACACCACGTCATCACCGCCGGCCGCCACGTCATTGTTGCCGGCGGCCACATCATCACCGCCAACCGCCACATCATCACTAGCCACTTCCACGTCATTGCCACATCACTCCTTCCCACCACGTCATCGTCCAAATATTTTCACCTTAAATGTGTCTTCTTCAAGGTTCGAACTCGTGACCGTCTCCTTTCGTGTCCAATCTACTTGCAGCTGAGCCAGATTGAATTTGTTTATTAATATTGTAAAATAAAATATATATTATTATATTACACTTTTAGCGGCGACACTTTTGTTGCAGCTGAAAGTCTTAGTTTTAGTAGCGAACTTTCAGGGGCGACCAAAAAAGTTGCCGTTGAAGGTCTTAGTTTCAGCAACGAACTTTCAGCGAAGACTTCTTTTGTCGCTGCTGAAAGTCGTCGCCTAAAGTCTGTTTTTTTGTAGTGTGTGTTTGTGATGAAAAAAGTTGACAAATTTGTTTTTTTGGATAAACGTTTTGGTTGTACCGTCTGACTGCAATTTATTTATTTATTTTTTTTGGGTCATGTGTTTCATATATATTTACTTCTTACTCTTGTAACTGTTATGATCAAAGTACTTTGTAAAGAGCCTTTGTATGATGAGGCAAAGGCTTGCTTTATAAGGTGAAAGAGAATCGCCTGAATTTGTAACTTTTGAAACAGTTATTGTACCAATTTTGAAAAAAGGTGGCAATGATGCGGCAACGAATCTTGTTCGCAAAATGTTCACTGGAGGTCTAATGAAATGATAAAAGAAGGTTAGCCACTCTACTCCAAATTTTATGTGATACTTGTATTCACAATGCTTTTTCTTTTTCCTTTTTTATTAAGATGGTTTCACTGTTGTGGCTGATCGCAGTTGGATTTTTTTTTTTTTTTTGAGTAATATGTTTCATACATGTACTTTTTTACTTTTGTTGTAGCTAGCGGTTTCTTTTTGTTTCTATAGCTTGACATGAGTTTGATGCAACACACGGACACACACATTTGTTCTCACAGAAATAGAGAAGATTCAGGGAAAATAGATTGAAACAGAGGAGGTGGAAGAAGAAACAGAGAAGGGACGGGGAACAAAATGGAATTGAGGGGGAAAATAGAGCAATGATGAAGGAAACATTTTCATTCATCCAAAAAGAGTTTCCATGCATATGCTGTCTAACCTATACTTATAGAAACATAATCAACCCACTTGTGAGATTTCCCTCCCTTGAAGGAATCAAAAAGCAAAAGAAAAAGAATATTAAAATAAAAATCAACAACTTGCCTAGGTTTCCTCTGTACGAAGGAAACATCTGTGATACAATAGGACATAGAACATAAGCCACTTGTAAGATAGAATAAGACATAAAAACAAGGTTTCTTTCATTTCTGATGCATGTGTACTTGAGTAGAGCATTATTTGTTGTACCCTGCCACTTGCATTTGCCTCTGCAATTTTCCTTGCCATATCTATACTTTTCCCTTGATGAAAGCCATGGAAGGGCTCCTTATGAGAAGAAAGGTGTTGTATTTGTATAGCATATCAATGTGATATTAACGTTTTGTTCTTTTTTATCATGATATTTCCACCCAACATTTTGGAATCTGTGATAAGTAAATCCAAATTGGGATTGAAAAGCAACTCCATTGATTTCCCTCTCCTTCCCTTTTTCACCCATCATATTTTATCCTAGTGTTCTTGAATGCTGACATTATTTTTTGTCATTATTTTTCTTTTGCACCAGCATCAGCCCTTATCACGGCATGTCTGTGTTGCAAGGAGGCATGTCCATTTTACTCGGTTATTTCCCACAAGAGCAGTATGGAAAGCAGACAAGTCAGTGGAAAGCAAAGTAGCATTTGGGAAGAACAATTGATGTTCCGGTGGATGCTTTTCTACTCAGCTTGCTTTTGATAGCTATGCTTATTATGGTGAAGATGATGTTGAGAATTGAAATGTTGGGGAGGAGGGCATATGAAGAGTAAACCCTTCGGATTTCATTAGACGGGCGAAATAAGGCTCCGACAGCATCTATAACTAAAATGATGCCTATTTTTGTTGAGCATGATTATATTCCTTCCCTTTGATGATCTTTCAATTTTGTAAAAGTATATTCTAGAGTTTTGTAATAATATGACGTGTTGATTTCACGAAAAAAAGGAACAACATCAAAGAGGAGCAGCAAATGGTACTGCTATGACTGCTATGTCAATATGCACAGCAGTTGGCCCTGCTGGGGGTGGTGCAGTGTAAGTATACCTATGTTTTTTTCCAAAGAAAAATAATTATTGTTTTTTGGCATAACTCATCATTTTTAGTGAAAAGCATTGCCAGACAAAGTTGAGCTCAAATGGTTGCATTGAACTCCGATGACCGAATGGTCTTTAACTCCATTGCTGCCTATGATCTGTGATTTTTGATCCTTTGTGCATATCAGTTTACCTAGCTTGAAGCCAGAATAACTTATCTAACTCATAATTTTTTTTTATTTTATTAAAGAAAAATTTTACATTGAAAATCATAAGTCTGGATTGGTTAGAGGATTCCATTTATGAATTGAGATTTTCCCGAGTATTTTGGCTCCATAAGCCTCTGCATATTAGCTTTCCTGTTCTCTGTATCATCCATTTGTGTGTCCCCAAGGTCATCCTTTTGTTGTAACAACGCCTCAGTTTAACATGCTTATCCATGTGTAATGTAAAATTTCAAAACCTGTCTGCAATTTGCTGATTATAATCTTGATCCTTGCGGATTAACTTGGTCCCAGGAAGGTGAGGGAAGCTGTCCTTATCTCAACAATAATGCCACTGCCCAAGGATCGCTTTTGAAATCTCTGTGAAGCACATCTCTCTCTACCAAAATGCAGCTGTTTGCTCCATAAAGCCCCTCTGCCACTCGATCTTCTCTCATCATCATCCTCCTCCTCTTCATTCTTATCATCCAAGCATCTCAGAAACTTGTTCCGTTGGCTGTGACTGTGCAGAAATCCCGCACCATCTGTTTGTTGAATGTCCTTATACTTGTGCATTTAGTTTGGGTGTCTATCATTACGTCTCAATCACACAAATTTCAATGAACATAAAGTTTGGTTCATGACCATATTGCAACAACTGCATAAGGACAGATATTCTCACCAAATACGTGGTATTATTATTATTATTATTATTATTATTCAACATCCTCTGGATGAGAAGAAACCATTCTATGCATGAAGGACAGGTTAAGAAGCCTCAACAGGCCATGGAAGAATTCTTTTGCGCATCTTCCTCATCAAATCTAGCCTTCCAATCCCTTCCCCTCCCCACAAGGCAGACGCAACACTAATGAAGCAGAGTGGCTACTAATTTTGCAAAGGATCAAGCAACATAACGGTACTTTTTGTCATGCTTGGATTGTTTGTCTCAGGCAATGCCTTGTGCTCTTCAGTTGGGGGAAATATGCTAAGGGTAGTGGAAACTTCGTCCTTAAATGCATCAGATTGTGAAGTCTGAATCATTTTCTGTGCAAGGTGGAGCAGAGCTATGTTTGGCATGTATGTGTAAACGGTTCCTAAGGCTCTCCAGCTCTGGAACTAATAGTCTCGACACAGTGGTAGCTGATATCCATAATTTGTTATCTTTGTATCCTATTTACTACTTACCTCTGTAATCTTGTTCTTTTTACTGAATTTAAGTTGATTATCTTACCAAAAAAAAAAGAATAAAATAAATGAAATTACACAATCTAGAATGAAATCACATACATACATGTTATCAATGGGGAGAATATATATATATATATATATATATTTTACTGCTCATGGAGCATGAATGCGTATATTTGTTTGTTTTATGTTGGCCAAAATATGTTTGTTTCATAGAAAAAACAAAAACCCACATCAAACTAACCAAAAAAACAAACCTCTAGTTAAAATAATCAAAACCAAAATCATAAGTTTGCGCAGCTTTAATTTTTCCTCTTAACTATGAAGGGGACATTTTAGTCATTGAAAAATTGTTTCATAAAAAAAAAAACAAAAACAGACATCAAACTAACCCAAAAAAAAAATCTCTAGTTAAAATAATCAAAACCAAAAGCAGAAGTATACGTAGCTTTAATTCTCCTTCTTAACTATAAAAAGGACATTTTAGTCATTGACAAATCTCTAATTAGGTTTTTTGCCTAACTATGGGCTTGTTGAAAGTGTAGGCTTGAATTTAGATTTTAGTATTTTGACAAGATCTAATTAATATTTTTCTTTATGAACAATCTTGATCTTTTATAGTCCTTTTTCCTTAAAAATTCAAGTCTAAAAATTACTTACGTCAAAAAATTAAACAAACAAAAAAGCAGTTGCCTAAATAAAAAATAAACAAGTTCTCCGGAAAATGAATACTTCGTTTATATCAATGCCCGGCTCTGCTTGCCTCTTTTAAAATCGAAACATTCCTTTTGGTTCGGGAAAAACTATTTACCCCTAAAATGTGATAATTAAAAGAAATTAGTAATAAAAAAGTGGTCAGGATTCTGAATTTTCGTACGGTAGAACCAATCTGAAGAAAATTTTCGTCCTCCTATCACGACGAACGCCAAGTTCTCAATTGAAGTCTTGGTTGAAGGATCTGAACTTCTGAATCCAACTGAAGATGCCATTTTGCAGAGCTCCTTCGAGGTATGTCTTCTCCCAGTTTCCTTTGTTTTCTACCGCGTCTACGTCTCCCTTCCTTCTTTCTCTCCACTTCTGTTCCCATTCCAATCCCAGAAATCCTCAGAATATTGAAGAGGCTCTTTCTTCTTTTAATCGCTTGCTTCATTTACGCCCTCCACCCTCTATAATCCAAATTACTAAGATATTAGGATCCGTGGCAAAGTTGAAACATCATCGAACTGTTATCTCCCTTTTCGCACAAGCGGAGTCTAAGGGATTCACGCCTGATTGCGTTACACTGAGCATCTTGATTAATTGTTACTGCCATTTGGGTCAAATGACTTTTGCTTTCTCTTCCTTAGGCAAGATTCTTAAGATGGGCTATCAGCCAAGTACGATTACTTTGAACACACTAATGAACGGCCTTTGCATCAATAATGACGTTGGAAAAGCCTTGGATTTTCATGATGATGTGATAGCAAAGGGTTTTCAGTTAAATGCAGTTAGCTACGGAACACTGATCCATGGACTATGCAAGATTGGGAAAACTAGAGCTGCGGTTAAGTTGCTCCAGAAAATGGCGAGAGGGCTGATTAAGCCTGATTTAGTCATGTATAATGCAATTGTTGATGGCTTTTGCAGAGAAGGTCTCATATCTAAAGCCTGTGATTTATTTCATGAGATGATTAATCATGGAATATCTCCTGATGTTGTGACCTATAACTCTTTGATATATGGTTTTTGTGTCATGGATAAAGGGCCAGAAGCTGCAAGATTGTTTAATCAAATGAGACTTGAAGGCATCAACGCTGATGTTCTTACTTTTAATATATTGGTTGATGCATTTTGTAATGATGGAAGTGTCACCAAAGCTGAAGCCGTAGTTGCCATGATGTTGAAGAGCCGCAAAAGTGCTGATGTTGTAACTTATAACACTTTAATGAAAGGGTACTGTTTGATTAATAATGTTAGAGAGTCACAAACACTATTCAACAAGATGGTCAAGAGTGGTTTGACTCCTAGTATTTTTAGTTATAACATTTTGATTAATGGACTTTGTAAAATCAAGATGGTGGATGAGGCCATGAATCTCTTTAAAGAAATGCGCTGTAAATGCTTTATTCCTGACATTTTCACTTACAATTCCCTTGTCCACGGTTTGTTCAAGTCAGGTAGAATCTCTGATGTGCAAGATATTATCTATGAGATGCATGATAGAGGTTGTGCCCCAAATATAGTATTTTATAGTACCTTGTTAGATGGATTGTGCAAAAGTCACCATCTTGACCAGGCAATTTCATTATTCAGGCAAATTGTTAACCAAGGAATTCAGCCTGATACATACACATATACCATACTTATTGATGGTTTGTGCCAGGGTAACAAATTAAATGATGCACGACAGATTTTCCAACATCTTTTGGTTAGTGGTCATCCTTTGAATGTCCAAGCATATACTGCTATGATCAAAGGACTTTGTAAAGAGTGTTTGTATGACGAAGCGAAGGCTTTGCTTTATAAAATGCAAGAGAATGGATGCTCGCCTAATTTTGTAACTTTTGAAACACTCATTATACCTCTTTTGGAAAAAAGTGACAATGACGAGGCCAAGAATCTTGTTGGCGAAATTATTCAGTGGAGGTCTAATGAAATGATAAAAGAAGGTTAGTCACTCTGCTTCAAATTTTATGTGATACTTGTGTTGATGGAAAAAGGTGACAAATGCACTGACTATATTTATTTTTTACTTCTGTTGTTTTGTTTTGTATTTTTTGCTTGATATGAGTTTGATACAAAACACAGACTTGTTCCTATGGAGATAGAGAAGATTTAGGTGAGAATTGAACGTTGGAGAGGAGGGCATATGAAGAGTAAATCCTTCAGGTCTCATTAGATGGGCATAGTAAGGTTCCTAAAATGATGCCTATTTATTGTGGAGCATGAGTATATTACTTCCCTTGTTGCAGTGTTTGATATTGTAAAAGCATATTCTAGAGTTTATGTTTCTTAAGTAAATGATTTATCTTCCACTGTTTTTTTTTTTTTTGTTTCTAAGGCTCCCATGAAGATTGTTTCTGTGACTGTACCTGATGAAATTTATGAGCAAAGAAGCTATTATATTGGACGTGGGTTTTGTTATTGAGTCACGCATAACAATTGGCTGTAGAATTTTGTAAGTGGTTATTTGTAGTGGTGTCTATTCATTGATCACTTGATGAAGCACTGGCTGCTTTTGTTTTTGGCTTTGCTTGTTGGGATGAGAAAAAAGATCGATAATGGAATAATTAGAGATGAGGACATATTAAGAGAAATCCTATCATGTAAGGAAAATTATAAATAAAAAAAATATTGAATTTGATATAAATGAAATTTAATTATAAGTTATATAGTAGGATGTGAATATATTAGGATGTTTAGAGGATATTTAGATAAGCTCATGGTATTAAGATTTATTTTCATTAAGATTTTTACTTATAAGTAAAGTTTCTATGCTCCTTTGTAACTCACTTTTGTGATTTGATTAGAAGTTATTTATTTTTTCTAAGCTTCGCTATAATTGAACCTTTGAAAACTTAACTTGCAGAGTTTTTCATTTATTTAGTTCTTTACTTCCAAATATTCATATGTCATGTTTTTATTGGAGAACTTGACAACAAACAAAAATGCTGCAACTCAAATGAGGCTTTCTTCCTATCCTTCTTAGACTCCCGTCCCACAAGTCACACACTCATGTTGTGAAAATAGCAACAAAAAAAAAATCCATAATCAAACTAAACTATCAAACAGAAATAGAATGGGCTAAAAATCTAAGACCCAAATGTTTCATTTTGTGTTGAAAAACTAGTTAGTCAGTTTTTGTGAATCCAATTCATAGAAATTCCGTCTAGTAAAATGGAAGAATTATAAATTTTTAGAATAATAGATAGAAATATTACAAATAGAGCAATTGCAAAACCTATCAAAGGAATAGTTTCCCAATCAAGAACTATTTTACCATATTCCGAACTCAAAGATTTTAATAAATTCCCTGGTATTCTCACCAAGTACATGGTATTGTTATTATTATTATTCTTCTTCTTCTCAATATCATCTGGATGAGAAGAAACCACTCTGCATGAAGGACAGGTTAAGAAGCCTCAACAGGCCATAGAAGAATTCTTTTGCACATCTTCCTCATCAAATCTAGCCTTCCAATCCCTTCCCCTCCCCACAAGGCAGACGCAACACACTAATGAAGCAGAATGGCTACTAATTTTGCACAGAATCAAGCAACATAGAGGCATTTCCTGTCATGCTTGGATTATTTGTCTAAACTTTGTCCTTAAATGCATCAGATTGTGGAATCTGAATCATTTTCTGTGCAAGGTAGAGCAGAGCTATGGTTGGCATGTATGTGGAAACGGTTTCTAAGGCTCTCCAGCTCTGGAACTAACAGTCTTGACAGTGGTAGCTGATATCCAAAATTTGTTATCTTTGTATCCTATTTACTACTTAACTCTGTAATCTTGTTCTTTTAACTTAATTTAAGTTGATTATCTTACCCAAAAAAAAAAACAGTATAAAATAAGTGAAATTGCACAATCTAGAATGAAATTACATGCATACAAGTTATAAATGGGGAGGATATATATATATATATATATATATATATATTACATTTATATATATTTTACTGCTCATGGAGAATGACTGCGTATATTTGTTTGTTTTATGTTGGCGAAAATATGTTTGTTTCATAAAACAAAAACAAAAACCTACACCAAACTGACAAAAAGAAAATCTCTAGTTAAAATAATCAAAACCAAAATCAGCAGTATACGTAGCTTTAATTTTTCCTCTTGACTATAATAAGAATATTTTAGTCATTGATAAATCTCTAATTAGGATTTTTGCCTAACTATAGGTTTGTTGAAAGTGTAGGTTTGAATTTGAATTTTAGTATTTTGACAAGATTTAATTGATATTTTTCTTTATAAATAATCTTGATCTTTTATAGTCCTTTTTTCTTAAAAATTCAAGTTTAAAAATTACTTACCTAAAAAAAATAAACAAATAAAAAGGCAGTTGCCTAAATAAAAAATAAACAAGTTCTCCGGAAAATAAACACTTCGTTCATATCAATACCCGGCTCTGCTTGCCTCTTTTAAAATCGAAACAAAATAAGAATATTATTCAGAAATTAGTAATAAAAAAGTGATCAGGATTCTGAATTTTCGTCCAGCAGAACCAATCTGAAGAAAATTGTCGTCTTCCTAACGGGACGAACGCCAGGTTCTCAATTGAAGTCTTGGTTGAAGGATCTGAACTTCTGAATCCAACTGAAGATGTCATTTTGCAGAGCTCCTTCGCGGTATGTCTTCTCCCAGTTTCCTTTGTTCCCTAGGGCATCTACGTCTCCCTTCCTTCTTTCTCTCCACTTCTGTTCCCATTCCAATCCCGCAAATCCTCAGAATATCGAAGAGGCTCTCTCTTCTTTTAATCGCTTGCTTTATTTACGCCCTCCACCCTCTATAATACAAGTTAATAAGATATTAGGATCTGTGGCAAAGTTGAAACATCATCGAACTGTTATCTCCCTTTTCGCACAAGCGGAGTCTCAGGGATTCACGCCGTCTGTGGTAACACTCAGCATTTTGATTAATTGTTACTGCCATTTGGGTCAAATGACTTTTGCTTTCTCTGCCTTAGGCAAGATTCTTAAGATGGGCTATCAGCCAAGTACGATTACTTTGACCACACTAATGAAGGGCTTTTGCATCAATAATGACGTTGGAAAAGCCTTGGATTTTCATGATGATGTGATAGCAAAGGGTTTTCAGTTAAATGCAGTTAGCTACGGAACACTGATCAATGGACTATGCAAGATTGGGAAAACTAGAGCTGCGGTTAAGTTGCTCCAGAAAATGGCGAGAGGGCTGATTAAGCCTGATTTAGTCATGTATAATGCAATTGTTGACGGCTTTTGCAGAGAAGGTCTCATATCTAAAGCCTGTGATTTATTTCATGAGATGATTAATCATGGAATATCTCCTGATGTTGTGACCTATAACTCTTTGATATATGGTTTTTGTGTCATGGATAAAGGGCCAGAAGCTGCAAGATTGTTTAATCAAATGAGACTTGAAGGCATCAACGCTGATGTTCGTACTTTTAATATATTGGTTGATGCATTTTGTAATGATGGAAGTGTCACCAAAGCTGAAGCCGTAGTTGCCATGATGTTGAAGAGCCGCAAAAGTGCTGATGTTGTAACTTATAACACTTTAATGAAAGGGTACTGTTTGATTAATAATGTTAGAGAGTCACAAACACTATTCAACAAGATGGTCAAGAGTGGTTTGACTCCTAGTATTTTTAGTTATAACATTTTGATTAATGGACTTTGTAAAATCAAGATGGTGGATGAGGCCATGAATCTCTTTAAAGAAATGCGCTGTAAATGCTTTATTCCTGACATTTTCACTTACAATTCCCTTGTCCACGGTTTGTTCAAGTCAGGTAGAATCTCTGATGTGCAAGATATTATCTATGAGATGCATGATAGAGGTTGTGCCCCAAATATAGTATTTTATAGTACCTTGTTAGATGGATTGTGCAAAAGTCACCATCTTGACCAGGCAATTTCATTATTCAGGCAAATTGTTAACCAAGGAATTCAGCCTGATATTTACACATATACCATACTTGTTGATGGTTTGTGCCAGGGTAACAAATTAAATGATGCACGACAGATTTTCCAACATCTTTTGGTTAGTGGTCATCCTTTGAATGTCCAAGCATATACTGCTATGATCAAAGGACTTTGTAAAGAGTGTTTGTATGACGAAGCAAAGGCTTTGCTTTATAAAATGCAAGAGAATGGATGCTCGCCTGATTTTGTAACTTTTGAAACACTCATTATACCTCTTTTGGAAAAAAGTGACAATGACGAGGCCAAGAATCTTGTTGGCGAAATTATTCACTGGAGGTCTAATGAAATGATAAAAGAAGGTTAGTCACTCTGCTCCAAATTTTATGTGATACTTGTGTTGATGGAAAAAGGTGACAAATGCACTGACTATATTTATTTTTTACTTCTGTTGTTTGTTTTGTATTTTTGGCTTGATATGAGTTTGATACAAAACACAGACTTGTTCCTATGGAGATAGAGAAGATTTAGGTGAGAATTGAACGTTGGAGAGGAGGGCATATGAAGAGTAAATCCCTCAGGTCTCATTAGATGGGCATAGTAAGGTTCCTAAAATGATGCCTATTTATTGTGGAGCATGAGTATATTACTTCCCCTGTTGCAGTGTTTGATATTGTAAAAGCATATTCTAGAGTTTATGTTTCTTAAGTAAATGATTTATCTTCCACTGTTTTTTTTTTTTTTGGTTTCTAAGGCTCCCATGGAGATTGTTTCTGTGACTGTACCTGATGAAATTTATGAGCAAAGACGCTATTATATTGGACGTGGGTTTTGTTATTGAGTCACGCATAACAATTGGCTGTAGAATTTTGTAAGTGGTTATTTGTAGTGGTGTCTATTCATTGATCACTTGATGAAGCACTGGCTGCTTTTGTTTTTGGCTTTGCTTGTTGGGATGAGAAAAAAGATCGATAATGGAATAATTAGAGATGAGGACATATTAAGAGAAATCCTATCATGTAAGGAAAATTATAAATAAAAAAAATATTGAATTTGATATAAATGAAATTTAATTATAAGTTATATAGTAGGATGTGAATATATTAGGATGTTTAGAGGATATTTAGATAAGCTCATGGTATTAAGATTTATTTTCATTAAGATTTTTACTTATAAGTAAAGTTTCTATGCTCCTTTGTAACTCACTACTATTTAGTTTCTCTCAGCTTCACTATAATTGAACCTTTGAAAACTTAACTTGCAGAGTTTTTCATTTATTTAGTTCTTTACTTCCAAATATTCATATGTCATGTTTTTATTGGAGAACTTGACAACAAAC